ACTGTCTCTTAGAATATCAGTTCATGGAGAGGGTTATGGAAAATACAAGCACCCTTTAATTATAGGATGTTTGTGTGGAATTGTGCACATTCAATATTGCCAGTAGCCGATGTAAAGGATTTGATCAAATCATATTTATTGATATTGTTTATAGTTAGCAATCCCTTGATTTACTCTTTAGATTGATAGTCAAAGATATCCCTTATTCTTAGCTAATGTTCCTAGACAAGTACTCCAATGTATCTAGTCGTATTATATTGCTTAATCATGTACTATATATACTCATGGAATCACATCAATATAATTAAACTTTCCAACATTCTCTTTCCCATAACTCTATCATGGTATCATGAGCTTTTGATCCATCTTTTCTTGCTTCCGCTACTACCATGGTCACACTATCAAAACCTTTTGTTGACGCCGACAAATGATGGTGACCATATCAAACTTTCTTCTCGGAAAGCTTCAAACCAAAATCACATTTTTCACTCAACTCTTTTTGGCACCCCGTATTTCATATACCAAGAGATGGCATTGATATATTTTTTTTCTCCAAACCCCTTACATGGAGAAACAAACCTTTTTCGATATCCCGTAGTTGACCTACCATGTGTTACCATATACGAAATTCTCTTCAAAACCATTATGGAGAAACATAACATTCTGTTCTAAACCACCATCACCACCATTAATATTTTCTATCTCGCCTTCAATAGTGGTGAAGGATCGGAACCTCTATATTTTTTCCCTCCCATTTGCTGCAAGCATACGCTAGCAAATTTTTATTTATTTTTAAATATTTACAATTAATGGTTCATGTGTTTAAAAACCATGAAAAACACCCATTAAACAATTTCTTATTCTCTCTCTATATACTATCTTTTTACTTCTTCATGAAACTCCTCCAACAAAAAAAAAAAAAAAAAAAAATCTCTCCTAACTCTCAATTTGGTACGTACACCTCTCAATTGAAGAAACACCAACATCTTGAAGTGGCAATCAACAATCAACAAGAACATTCATTTTACAAGATTGCACTTTCCCTTTGGTCGTCCATCTTGCGGGGGCGTGTAAAGGATTTGATCAAATCATATTTATTGATATTGTTTATAGTTAGCAATCCCTTGATTTACTCTTTAGATTGATAGTCAAAGATATCTCTTATTCTTAGTTAATGTTCCTAGACAAGTACTCCAATGTATCTAGTCGTATTATATTGCTTAATCATGTATTATATATACTCATGGAATCACATTAATATAATTAAACTTTCCAACATTCTCTTTCCCATAACTCTATCAGCCGAATCTTTAGCTTTATATACGCCTTTGATATCTCCAACATGTTCAAGGTGTAACTTATTCTCGGAATCTCATATCCATATTGTTAGGGATTTCTTTTCATCATCGATACAGGTTTACAAAAATTAATTTTTCAAAATTTTTAAATTTTAATATATTTTAAAATGCTTCTCTGACGGTATGGATAAACTATAATCTAAGGTTAGATAAGAAGTGGAAAATGATTTTTCAAAATTAATACGAATGGGGCTTGGATGAATTCTGTAGTATCATCAGGTAGGGGTGTTATCAGGAGATCTGATGGATCATGGTATGTGGGATTTTCTTGCAAACATGATGTTGTATCTCCTATTCTGGCTGATTTATATGCCATGAATGATGGGCTATCAATTGCGGGGGACTTAAGGATCAAGAAGGTGATTGTAGAAACAGATGCAAAAATCGTACTCTTCGTGAAATGCTACTTAAAGCAGGCCTTAATCCACACCACAAGCTAGCAGCAACGATCTGTGATGTTGTAGCTATTTTGTCCAAGTTTGAAGTGGCTGTTGTTACTCAGAGAGAAGATTGATTTGGCTCATCACTTAGCTATTTTAGAAGGGAGATGGCAGTTGGGTATAAACTCCACTACCTTGTTCCCGACTGTGTAACTTGTATGAAGAAGAGCACGCACATGCTACAACATCTCTTCAGTAGATTTGTAGTTCCAGGAATCTTAGTTATGGATGTCTTTAGTTTTTGGGTTACAATGTGATGTAAATATTAATCTCTACAGGAGGGTTATTAACGGATTTAACTTTGGCCTATGACTTAGGAATATTTTGCTTCTACATCAATTTTCATTGTAAAAATTATATGATGTATAATGTAAATACTATGGCTATAGCCTAATAATATAATCAGTCTTTTCTTTGTGTTAAAAAAAATATCATATTTTTGATATATTGTGTCCCCTCTTAGTTTGTTTGGTATGCTACTTATATTGTGTCCCCTCTACTTGTATTAGCCTAATATTAATGTGCGATATTTTTTTAGGCTAATATAAGTAGAGCCGCTTACAAGTTTTTTAAGGTACTTATAAACCATTCACGGATCATAAAAGGTAATCACGATAAAAGGACAACGAAAGGCAACAACAATTGACCCGTGAAGGTTACAGTTACACCCCATTCATAATCCATGAGATTAATAATTCCATATGGTTCGGAACCACGAAAAGAGGATCAGGGATGATGATACTAAGTGAGTCATGGATTTACATTCGCCTGTATTGACCTCTACACGATTCTTATAGTGAAAAGTCTTGTGATCTCAAAGGCATGTAAACAAAGATTCAATTTGCTCAAAACTATTATTAAGCTAAATTGGTACATCATGAATAAAATGTTAGTAACTTCAATAAAAATATAAATTAAATTGAAATTAAATTAAATAAAAATTAGAGTTGATTTGGTCAAAACCCTCAGTCAATTCTACCTTTCATGCCTTGGTTTAAGGACGGAACCTCGGGTTAAGTATGGACTCGTTAGCTTGGAGTGATTAGGGGAAGTATTATGAGAGAATAGGGAGGCTAGTATTTAGGATACAGAGGGAGAAGAGAATGATTTTTTGTGTAAGAGGGAGAGAATGATTTTTGGTGCCCTGAATTGCAGACGAACAGGGGGATGCACAGAACCCTAGAAGATATAAGAGCCGCAGAAAAAACCCTAATTGGGCACCGTGACACGGTACGGGGCACCGTGACACTGTACAGTCCACCGTGGCACGGTGAAGCACATTGTTTCACGGTGTTTAATTTGTCTAAAATGCGTCTAGATTTATAAGCGCGTGAGAAAAAACGCGGAATAGACATGGGAAAACATCGTGACATGGTGAAATTACCGTGTCACTATACAAGGCACCGTGCCACATTGGCATTCACCGGTGCGCGGCATTTTAGCTGTTGCGCGGTAATTCATGTTTTTTTACGCATTTTTAAGACTATGATAACTTTTGATCCGTAACTCTAAATAAGGCATATAATATATCATTAGAAAGTGTATCATGCCTAATTTTCAAACAAATTAGAATTATGTCAAAATCATTTGTAAAATTTTAAGATATGTCCGTTTTAGTGAAAGGGTGTCGGTTTTGGGTCGAGTTTAGTATTTTGCTCATATCATCTTCGTTTTAAATTGGAATTGGGCTTATGATATATTGTTGGAAAGCTTATTCAACAAAATATTAATTGGATCAAAATTATAGGGCCAAAAAATTAGTATCTCTCTGTTTTGTGATACGGATGCGAAAAGTGGGAAAATAAGTAATGGCTTGGGGAAATGGGCTAAGAATTGGGTTGGTTTGTTGAATGGAAATAGGGATTAAGCACTCCAAAGATTAAATACTCAACCCAACCAATAATGATAGTGAAAGGTTGTTTATTATCGGGTTTGATTTTGGAGAGACATTTTTAGGTGTCTACATATGTAAAAATAAAAAGACATTGTATTATTATAAAGGTTACTATGTTAGAATGAATCACTATGTTTAATATAACGTAGTACTTTAGGTTCGTATAACATTAAAGGTCATAAAAATTTTAATAAAGGTTACTATGGTTAAAATTAGGGTCATTGTGTTCAATATAAAGATAGTTACGTGCGTATGGACTTCGGGTCTACAATATATTATTGTTAACCAAGTTTACACAGGTTTCAAATTCTGAAATAAATTTTTATGCCTTAGGACTCTCATAACATTGTATGTTTATTTGTGTGGGTCTTAAGATTAACAATAGATTAATTAAATAAGATTAATAAATAATGTTGACTTTAAAGTGATGATGAATTTTCATCAATACCATAAATTTAGTTAATGGAAATAAATGATAAATGATTAGCGATTTTTTTTTTCTTCTGCAAGATAAGAGAGGATTTTTGTAATATTAAATATTATAATATTTTTTTTATCTATTTCAAAAATGAACTTTTTTATATTGAATGTGGTTTATATATTTTTTATTAATTTATTTTTAATGTAATTTTTTTATATCACTTTTCTTATTACAATACTATTTTTATCTATTCCAAAACTAAATAAATTTTATTTAAATTGAACGATATTTTTATCATTTTTCATAATTTTGTTTTTTATCAATACATTTTTTAGTAATGTCAATCATAATATCGTTTTTTTAATCAATTTTCATATATGTTAATTGTAGATTGGTTTAAATTTATATAATGACAATTTTTTGTTATTAATACATTTAATGATTTAAATTATAATATCAAAATATAATTTATTCAGATAGCTTTTTTTAATTATATTATTCAAATCGTAATATCTAAAGACTATTTTAGTTATGTTTTTAAAAATGATAATATTTATATCAATACCTATATACTAAAGTAATCCCCAACATTATCTCTTAATACACGATTCACCCTCTGAGTAAAAATTATCCTGCCCAAACTTTTTGTTTTTTTGTTCTTTTTAAAAAGTTTGTTACAAGAGACAAATTCAAAAAAGAAAATTTTCCTACAATATATATTACATTATTTTTTGTTATCTTCTAATCTCTTTGTTAATTTCCTAGCTTTTAAAAAAAAATAAAAAAATAAAAAAATTTCCTAGCTTCGAGCCATTGGTGTTTCAAGACCACTGTTTGCAACTAAACTTCTTATTATTGAGTCTTTTTTTTTTGGCAACATGTGTATATTTAGATACATCTTATGGTATATCACATACATGAATATGTCTTTTTTAAAGGTTTTTTTTTTACTTCCAATGATTATGTTTTGTATGTAACATTTTTAATAAACGAATAACAGAATAATACTGTAAAAAACGTGCAGGGCACGGGGTTTGAACTAGTTTTATTTGTTTTTACCAATGTAGAAAAATACTTAAATCTCAATTTGACAAGAATTGCAAAAAGTGGAGTCTTGCTCCTTATTACAATCAATGAAATTATTATTCCTAAGAAAACTCAAAGAAGGTGCTTCAAGGTGTCCTAAGCGGTCGTGCCAAGTGTGAGGAGACACGACAGTGAGAGAAGTGGCTGGGCATGATATTGATGATGTGTTGGTGGTGAAAGGATATAAGTCCCCAAAGCTATTACACCTCGTGATTATTTTCCCCGTGCGTAGATCCTTCACAGAAAAACCGGATGGGTCAAATTCTATAGACACGGAATTATCAGTAGTAAATTTACGAACTGAAATAAGGTTCTTAATAATTTGAGGGGCAAGGAGAACATCACGAAGGGTTAATTTATTTTTGGAAAAAGTGGTATGACCATAACCTATAACCGGAATACAATGACCATTGCCAACTAAAATATGATTATTAGTGCTTAAATTAAATAAGGGCAAGAGATTACCGGAATTATATGTCATGTGAGACGATGCACCCCAGTCCATGTACCATCCATCATCCGGATTCACCAAGGTCATGGTGGAAAAGGCATTCCCGAGCTCAGTTGGGGTCATGAGCTGTCCGTAACCGGGTTGGGCTGTCAAGTATGCGTGCTGCTGGGCCGGAGGTGCTTGTTGTCCTCGGGGTTGGGGTTGTGGAAAAGGGTAAGGGGGCCTTACCCAATTTTGTGAAGGAACAGGAGCCCAATAGTAGCCATAGGATGGCTGCTGCCCAGTTGGGCCGGCCCATTGTGGCTGACCAGGCCACTGTTGTTGGCCTTGAACGGACCCTTGTGGGGTTTGTTGCTGCTGCGAGCTGGGCTTGGCAGGGGATTGCCCACGTCCCCGGCCACGCCCCTTTCCTCCTTTGCCACCTCTGCCGGTGGTGTTTCCGCGGCCGGTGCCGGCGCCACGCCCCTGTGGTGGCAACTGCTGCTGAGTGGAAGTAGGGGATGCGGTGTCCCCTTGAGCAACAAAAGATTGTGCCGAACTCGAAGAATCATGTGACCTGCGAGTTTTCTCAAGCAATAAGCGAGACCGGGCTGTTTCAAAGGAAGGGAGAGGCTCGGTTTGCTGAATCATAGCAGCGACGGTGTCAAAGTCGGTATTAACGAGTCCGGAGACAAGTCGTATAACCAGTTTCTGTTCAGAGACGGGTTGATCGACATTAGCGAGTTGATCCTTGAGGGTCTTCAATTGACGACAATAGGATGAGATGTCTGGAAAATTGGAGAGATGCAAGGCGTTGAATTGGTTTTCAAGATATACGGCACGGGTATTCTTGTTATCTTGAAACAGAGCTTTGAGTTTATCCCAAATGTCTTGAGCCGTAGCACCCCTTCATAGGATAGTTTCGAGCAGATCCGAGGAGATCGTGCCATAAATCCAATTCTTTACCACCGAGTCAAGTCGCTTCCATAATGCATCGGAGATGTCCGTAGGCCTTGGTGATTTAGGATCAATGTGACCCAAGACATGGAAAGCATGAGCATGACACTCGAAAAGTTCAACCCAATTTGAGTATTGCACTTTCTCTCGATCAAGAAGGAGAGGGATGGCGTTCTTGATGTTGTTCACAGCAAGGGCGGGATGAAATTCGTTAGAGGGAGGTGGTGGGGGACTATCACTATCTTTAGTCATGGCGGCAGTAAGCTAAAGAAGATAAAAGCAGGGGAACAAGGCAAAATAAAAGTGTGGAAGCTTGAAGAAGGCAAGGTCCCAAAATTAATTAAAAAACAACCAACTGTTGGAAAAAAAAATTTTGAGATCTAAAACCTAAGCTGTGATATCATATTAGATTTCGGGAAAACTCCTCAATCTGGAGTGTGTACCATTGATCAAATATATAGAGTTTATAATGTTAGGATAAGGAATCCTAGATACGATAAACATACAAAATATACATTAAATATATCCTAAACTGTGACAAATATTATCCTAAATATAATATCTATCATTAAATTTCCTTCGCCACTTTAACTTACATGGCTAGTGAATTTTTTTTAATTCAAAAATAAAATTAAAATTTAATTTTTAATAGGTCAAAAGAATACCTTTGCTTATGTGGCGCACCGAATACTCCTAAAAAATGCCTTTATTTTTTTATTTATATACTAGTTTTTGCCCAGGGCAATGCCCAGGTTGTTGACAAAATTTTAGGATAAACTTGTAACTTAAATGTTAAATTTGGACATATAATTTCTTTTGATAATGCAAGATATTTAGACAAACAATATTATATAATAGTTTACTTTTTGAAGTTTTTTTAAAATAAATATCTATGTTATTATTGACTTGAAATTATTGTTATTGAATTTAAATTCTTTTTATTGAACTAGAAGTATTTTTACCAAACCAAAAATTATTTTCGTTGATTAAACTTATTTATACTAATTGTCTATTATTGGTTTTTTAACTAAATTAAATATATTATAGATGGATATCATTTTAAAGAAATTTTTTAACGAATTTTATGATAAAAATAAAACCGAGTTATACGGTATTTATTAAAAATTATGATTAATGAAATATTAGAAGTATAGTGATAATAAAACTCTATAAAAAAATATTTATCTTAAAAAAATCTATCTAAGAATCATTTACTTAGCATAATATGTGTCACAATAATACATATTTGTCTCCTATGTAGCACGACACTTGGTAAAAAATTAGAATGTCAAATGTCGTTGTCTCGTGACCTGACTACGAGACTGGCTATGATATGACATGGTATTAGATCTTAAGTTCAAATTCTTGACTAACTATACTTCAAATTTCGTATCACTTAAGCATAAATGCTTGTTATGTTTAAAAATAGGATAATTAAAAAAGATGAAGCTCCAGTTAATCTCTAGGAAAAACAAAATTTGTTTATCACATGGAAATTTGGTAAATAAATCAACAACTTTATCCAGTAATCATCAGTCATCAGTGTGGGACCCGCTTTTATTGAAAAAATTGTTGATTTATTTATAAAATTGTCGTGTGATAAACAAATTTTTTGTATCTCAGAGATTAACCTGTATTTACCAATAAAGGAATCAGTTATTTAATATGAACTAATTTTGTCTTAAACAATGAGTATGTTAAAAATGATAATTTTTTTTTGTTCAAACATACCAAAAGGGTTTAATTTGTTAGTGTAATAGGAGTCACCCTTCAGTGATAAAGGGGTTACTCTCTCAGTGTTATATGGGTTACTTGGCCAGTATTACAAGGGAAACTAGATCAGCATTACAAGAATTACTTTATTCTTTTATAAGTGGTAATATGATGTGGCCAGTCACACATAAAATGGGCGGTTAATTTAAATTTTTTTAATTCAATACAAAGTATAAGGTAAAATAAATTATTCCTAAAAAACAGTAAATTAAGTTAAGCCTGGCACATTGTTAGGCATGCTGAACACTTGTCCAAGAACCAACAAATTAAGGGCTCAAAAGATAGTTTATTATATGTCTCCAAAAGTTCTTTGAGTTTGGAAGCTAATAGTTTCATAAAAAAGACCTTTTAAAGAACAATAGAAGGAATAAAAAGGCGAAAAAAAGATACTTGATCTATATTTATAGCTAGCTAATTCCTTTTATATTGATGGGCCCGTATAACTTTGCACACATGAATTGTGTATTTTCTATTTACTTTGTTATTTATTTAATATACCCCAAACGAGGAAATTTCGGAGAAAAATTAATTAGGTAGTTTCTTTAGATGTCATAACTTATTTGTCATTTTTTTTACGGGAGTCGTTATTTTTGCCTTTAAAAATGTCATGAAATAAATTTTTAAAAATTTCTGTCAGAATTGGCTAAGAATTCTACTTGAATTTGTTTTCTTCAACGTGTAACTGATTTTAACGTTAGGAAAATTAAAATTCATCACTACTCGTATTATAATTCAAGTGATTTTTGTATGAGATGAGCGCACAATGAAACAGAATTGACCGTTTGATAAATTAATTTGTATATGTGTGAAATACTTGAAAATATTGATATATATGGAAAAGTATCAAAAAATTTATGTTGCCATTAATCTATAATCCTATCATTAATTACTTAACATATATAACTTGTTCCTTTTGAATTAAAAAATTAATTTCATCCATATCATGCTTACATATTATTACATTTAATTTTATGGATATTAATTTAGGCAAGTCAGTTACATTCAAAATCCGTTACATTTTTTTTTCTATTTTACGAATTGAAATTTGTTTACCAAAGTTATTGGGTATATGATACATGTGACCATGACTATAATGTCATTTGTGAACATGAGAATAATTTGGTAACTTAGATGATACTAGAGTTGTATTATTAATCACATAACTCACATGTGATTTGGTATTAATTGCTTCATGTTATAAAGAAGAAGAGAGAAGATGATGATTAATAAATTTCTTTTTATTTTTTTTGAAAAAAGATGATGAATAATAATCAAGATAGATGACTTATTATTAGTTGATGTAAATTAAAGTTGTAAATATAATTTGGGTTATATGTGGCTAGAGCTCTCTTCCTTATTGTTGTCTTGATCATCCTAACATATATATCACTCGTTCATAAAAGTAAAATTCGCAGTATTTATTTTAACTCACATTAATTTTTCTTTTTCCTCTATGTATTTGAGAATAGTTAGCTTGGTTAATAAACGTGATGCATTAATGTTTGTTACGGAGTATTTTTTAAACTCATAACTCCTATGACATTTGGCATGAAGTAAATGCCTATAATAGTGTATTAACCTTGTTATATATCCAATCAAGTTATCCCCTCTTACCACTCACTCACTCCCTTTTCTCTTACCACTCTACTTCTATCATGGATTCCATAACTCTTTATCAACTCCACCTCTTCCATTCCATTGACCGTGATCTCTTTTCAAGGCTAGTTACTAGTTTAAAACAACAAGCATCTCAAGCCTTATTGATCATGGCTTTTTTGTTTTTTCTAGAGGATGCAAAAGATTTCAAAATCATAACAAATTTAATAGGGCTATCAGATAACCTTCTTGATGCTGTAGTAAATGAAGTTGCTTTGTGCATCAACTGCCTGAAAACTAAAACACTCACGACTCACGGCGGTAGTCTTCATCTCTTGTCAAGAATGATGGACAAAGAAATATCCTTGAAAACAATTTGCGACATGAAATACACCGCAATTAGTGGTGTAAAAGTTTATCTAAATGATGTTTGTGCATGGATTTTTACTGACATATTAATAAAAGTTTTACCAATACCCTCTAATCTACACCTTAATCCCCCTCTTTTTGTTCCCGGTTTTCCTCATCCTACCTTTGGTTCACTTGAAGTTCATCTCCTACCTTTAAATGTCATAATTCCTATCAAAGGTTTATTGGGTTCGAATAAAAAATTCGAAGCTCCTATCGACGATAGAACCCTCTTCCTCACATTTTCACAAGGGTTTCCAGTTTCTGAAGGAGAAGTAAGGCAATTCTTCACAAAAATGTGTGGAAATTGTATAGAGAGCTTTCAGATGGAAATAATATCCAAAAATTCATCAAAGGTACAATCTTTGTTTGCTCGAATGGGGTTGCGCTCTGTTGCCTACATGGATCAAATTATGGGTGGAAAACACGTTGCTAAGTTTCGTTCCAAAGGTAAACACATTTGGGCTAGAAAGTATGAGCGACGCGATCCATGACAAGGAAGCATGAATGGTTAAATGTAACAAAAAAGTTAATGAATAATAAATTAGATCAAAATGTATTGAGTCCTTTGTTTTATGTTATTTTTCTATTATGCATGTGTACTTTTTCTATCATTGTGATTCTAGTAATGTTGTGTGTTGTGTTCTCAAAAAAATAAAAAAATAATTAAAAAGAGAAGTTGTGTGTTGTTATTTTATTTCATCCATTAATCTATGTAGCTATTTCCTATATAGTAATTATTACATATGTGGATCTATATAATATTACATCTATATAATTTATTATTTCAAAATTCACGAGTCCAATTATTGAAACAAGATATATGAAAAAAATTATCTCTGCATTTATTAATTGTTACTAGGGAATTAACTTTTATTTTTTTATGGATAGTTTGAAATTTGCAAGTTATGATAGATGGTAAAACTTGTTAAATTTATGGCACATTATTAATTTTTTTATAAAAAATAGATGAGAAACTAATATTCAATGTAAAAACTAAAAACCACCAATAATAATGACTAATGCTAATATAAGGACTTATAAAAGAATCCTGTTAAAAAAAAAAGGACTTATAAAAGAAACAATACTTAAATCGATGATGATTAAAATGACAAATAATTTTATATCTTTGAAGACGAGAAAATGTGTGTAAGAAATTAGACTTTCACATTTACATCCTTAATTTACCAAAAGTTTATTTGTTGTGGATAATAACTCAAATTTTTTATTAACATGAATGCAATTTTGTATCTCTCTCTCCCTCCCTCTTTTTCTCTCAAGATTTTTTAGCTCTTTTAAATACATATTCAGTTAATTAACGAACTCTTAAAAAATCCACCTTTCCCAATCATTAAGTGATTTATGAAATCAGACTAATAACAATTTTGACGTTTGACAGTTATCAAATATTACGTTAATGTTTTGTCTTAATATATCATGCATAGAACGCTTTCATAATAGGTATTATGTGTAAGTATCGGCGGTATTTAACAAGGTCTCTCTCTCTATCTATCTATCTATCTCCCTCTCTCTCAAGATGTTTTATCCCTTTTAAATACATATTAAGTTAATTAACGAACTCTAAAAATATCCACCTTTTCCATTCATTA